TCCTATTTATAGATGACATATTCCAGTGATAATTAACTTTTTTAAAAACTGCAAAAATACAGAGGGATTGATTTTAAGATATAAATAAGAATAAACTAAGGTTCAATTATGCAAAAAGTTATAAAAGGCAAACCAAAGTAATGTCAGATGAGGCCCAAAGCGGGGTGCCTGGATGGCTCAATGGGTTAAGCCTCTGCCTTTGGCTCAGGTCACGATCTCAGGGTCCTGGGATCGAGCCCAGCATAGGGCTTTCTGCTCATCAGGGAGCCTCCTTCCCCCCGCTCTCTCTCTGCCTGCCTCTCTGCCTACTTGTGATCTCTGTCTATCAAGTAAATAAATAAAATCTTAAAAAAAAAAAAAAAAAAAACGAGTCCCAAAGCAAAAGTCAAATCACTTGTTGGGACTCTAGGGGAAGAGGTTAGGGGAAGATTTGGGATGCCAGGAGTGTCATCGATGGCCAACTCAACTGCTTTGCTTTATAAATCAGAAAGCACAGGTTCCGTGAGTTACCTGAGATAACCAGTTTATGGTTTGTGGCAGAGCCAGAGACTGGGCCCCGGTTTCTTGACTCCCACTGTTTTTTCCTTCTTGACTCCCACTATTTTTCTTTCTTCTGTAACATGTGCTACAAAGTAATTACTAGATTATTCTATGTTTTGTCTTGTTTTGGTAAGAAGTAAAACAGATAGTCCCTTGGGTCTCTGCAGTGGGAAGAAGTCACCATTGTGAAGGAGGAAAAAGGGTCAGAAAAAGGAGCCTTTGTGTTTGTGTGTGTTCAGGGAGGTTTCCTGTAAAACGTCCTTCAGTTTGTGATGTAGTGATTTAGGGTGGGGTTGACCTGGAGCAGTTTCTGCCCTAGTTATGGGGGTTGTGGAAGTCCTATTGCCTGTTGAGTCGTGCCCAACAAAAATCTGGTCGAGCAGCCTCTGCACAGTACTTTGTACACAGGGACTGGGGAATAAGTGCTTAGCTGAGTTGAAGCGATAGTGGCAGGAATCATAAATCAGATTTGATGCAGTCCTGATAAAGAATTGTGTATTGTCTCCACGGTGACATTTGATGGATTCTGTGCTTGAACTGTCTGCTGTGACACGTAACGAGGAGCTTGATTTCAGCTAACTCGTTTTTCAGGAACATGTGTGCGTGGAGGGCTCCCCACCCCCGCTGGGAGTAAATACAAGAGAGGGTTCCTAGACCAGACACTTGCCGTGCTTCAGGCGGTTGGTGTGCCCTGTCTGTAGGCCAGGAGATTTGTCATTAGCCTGGCCACCCCGAGACTGCCTCTTGGCAGCTGTCGTGTGGTTTTTCCCCAAAAGGAACAACCCAAAACAACTAACAAAAATGAAGGTTCCCTGCCTTCCTGTCTATAACGTCTGAATCCGTAACTGTCTTTACGTCCTTCTCTCCTGTCTCTCCCACCTCCTGTTTAAGGCACTTCTCTACCTCTTTTCTGAATCCCCCCCTTGCCTCTCACTGAAGAATGTGCCTTCTGCAGGTGTCTCCCTTCCGTGAGCTCCTTCCCCTCAGTGTGCAAGTCCCTCTTCACCGTAAGCTCCCCACCAGGGGGAGCATCTCTCCTCCTTCCCTTCTCCTGTGACTGAGCCTCTTGCGGATGAAGGGTGGTGTTCTTGCAGTCATTCGATTTCCTTACTTTTCCTCTCTCTCACCCTCTCTGGTCAGTATCTGCTTCACTGAGACGGTGCTGTCCGTTCTTAACTTGCTGTTCCAGAGGACCGCCTCCGTGCCCGTCTTACCTGACTTTTCTGCCGTCCTTTACCTCTCTGCTTCCTGAACTCTCTGGCTCTTCGGGCTTCTCTTATCTTCTTTGGCTTCTTCATTGTGACTTATCCCTTCTGTGCCATCCTTATTCAAGAATCTAGCTGCCTCCTTTTCTCATTATGTGTTTCCAGGGTCTTTTCCTCTGTGTTCATACGGTAAGAGAGTGCTGCTCTGATTTAACTTTCCAGCTCAGATTTCTTTCCTGAACCCCAGACTTCACCTCACTGGGGATCCTACAGGTCCCTCAGATTCAGCATGTTGAAATCTCTACTGTCCCTCAGTCACTTCCTCTGTTCCCGACTTCATTATCCATCTAAATCAGATACTAAAAACCTTGGTGTCATCCCTCATTTCTTCTTGTATCCCTTAATATAGTATCACCATTACTTGTCACTTGTTTCTTTTCCTTCCTGAGTTGGCCACACTATCAGTGGTGCTGCTAGTGCTGATGGCTTTTATTGGTCTTTTTTTCTTTATGGGGAAGACTTCTCTTTCTTCTGTAGATCACATTTTCCCACTGTCTACACCAAATGTCTCTGGCTTTGATTCTCCTAAATGAGTACATAAGACCACAAACCAGACTATTTCTAGATGAAGTACGGTGTCAGGTATAAACTGCTATAGGGAGATTAAGGAAGGTGAAACCCAAGGAAGAAAATCCTGGATTTGATGATTCGGGTGGTGTCTGGCCCTGGAGGAAGTTTTGTAGCATAGTGAAGACTCCCCACACCATTTCTCCTTTGGTGTACCTTTGTCTGAGATAGCATTCAAGTGGCGTCCTTCTAGTCACTGAAACTTTGTTGTCAGGGTCCTTCTGCTCCTCTGCTCACTTTATCCAGTTAGTAGATTTTGCCAGTTGAGACCTCAGTGTTCTCTTACTTGTGTCCCTTTGATTTTTTTCCTCTTTGAATTTGAATCTTTGTCAATCATCTTTTTGTTATCATTCACATTTAACTGATCATCAGGTTATGATAGTTCATAATCAAGTTGTAAATCTGTCCCTTCTTTTCTTTTTTTAAAAATCTTTTTAAAAGATCTATTTATTTATTTTAGAGAGCATAAGGGAGTGAGTGGGTAGAGGAGCAGAGGAAGAAAATCTTCAAGCAGATTCTCTGCTGAGCGTGGAGTCTGATGCGGAGCTCGATCCCGCTACTTGTGAGATCACGGGCTGAGGCAAAACCAAGACTGGAACTTAGCCAACTAAGCCACCCAGGTGCCCCTTAATATTTTATTTTTATGTGATCTTTAGATCTAATGTGAGACTCAGACCCACAACCCTGAGATCAAGAGTTACACACTTCACCGACTGAGCCAGCCAGGCACTCCCCTATTATCATCTTTTTTTTTTTTTTTTTTTAAGATTTTTTATTTATTTGACAGAAAGATCACAAGTAGGCAGAGAGGTAGGCAGATAGAAATGGGGAAGCAGGCTCCCCGCTGAGCAGAGAGCCCAACGTAGGGCTCGATCCCAGAACCCTGAGATCATGACCTGAGCTGAAGGCAAAGGCTTAACCCTCTGAGCCACCCAGGTTCCCCACCCCTATTATCATCTTAAATGGAAAATTCAGTGGACAATTTTTAGTTCTTTGTCCTATTTTATCATTCTTAACACCATTGATCACTGTCTCCTTCATAACCCTCTTCTCTTGACTCTTGAGACTCTGTTCTCCTGCTTTTCTTTTCTTTCTTTTTTTAAAATTTTGTTTATTTATTTGACAGAGATCACAAATAGGCAGAGAGGCAGGTGGGGGCGGGAAGGAAGCAGGCTCCCTTCTGAGCAGAGAGCCCCATGCAGGATCCCAGGACCCTGAGATCATGACCTGAGCTAAAGGTGGACTCTTAACCCACTGAGCCACCAGGCACCCCGTTCTCCTGCTTTTCTTACCATGTCTTTGGTGGTCTTTTCTTGGTCTCCTTTGAGGGCCCCCAAATATATTTGTCTTCTGGCTTGATCTCTCCTGGCCATGTCTGGGCAATCTCATCTATACTTATGATTTCGGCTACCACTCATCTGTTACTCCCAAATCTTTTTCCTCAGGGCACGCTTTTCCACTGAACCCCAGATCTGTATTCCTCATTTGTTTACCAGATACTTCCATTTGGAGGTTCCACAGAACTTTAAATGCGGTGGATTTGAAAAGGGAACTTATTGTCATCTTCCCCAGACTTCTTCCTTTTTCATTTTGCCTTGATGAAGGGCACCATCAGTTGCCCATCGCCCAGATATGACACCTTGGGGACATTGATGCCTCCCTTCTCACTGTCCCCATTCATTTGGTCACAAATCCTATTGAGTCTACTGCCTAAATTCCTAAGTCTCTCAGGTCTGCCTTCATGTTTCTGTCCTCACTGCCTTAGCTTGGATCCTCAGTATTTTCTTGCCTCATCAGCTCCTTTGTCTCCTCACTGCCCACAACTGCAATTGTGTCTCCTTCTCCCTCCTACTTCCAAATCCCATACTCAGCTGAAATTTGAGTTCTTATTATATCTTACTTACATGTGAAATGTTGTGCATGCATTCTTACTTAACCACCACATTAACTCACCATTCTTTTGCTTCGGAAGAGAGTCGGCCCAGGTCTCACAAATACAAGTGGTAGGAGAGAAATTTGAACCCAGGCTCTATGCTCCAGGGCCATGCATTTAATTAACCAGTTCGTTGAGCACCTTTCACTGGCCACCCCTCTTTCCATATTGTAATCTTTGGAAGCATGTCATTGGTCAAGGTAGTTAAGGTCCAACTCCTGAGAGGAAACTATTGACATTAATTATTTGGAATTCTATGAGGAAGATTTATTTCTTCCCCTTTTTCATTTAATCACTTATGTGTTGTAGATGTATTTATTTTATACTTGGGTTTATAATTCCATACTATGTTACTTACTTAACCAGCTCTCACTTTTAAGATGTTGAAGTTATTACCAACTTTTTGCTATTATAAAGCCTGACGAACGAATATTTTCTTAGAAGTCTTGGCTTGCTGTTTTGTTGGTTTCTTTAGAGATATTCCTCAAAGTAGGATTGTTCAGTAGGTGCATTTAAGTCTTCTGTACATGTTTCTCGGGGTGGGTTTTTACCTTAAGCATCTGTTTTTATGTTGCTGTCTTTCTAGGAAGTGCTCTTAACACCCTTGAGATTTTGCATCCCTCTTTGGGATTATGAATAGTTCATCTTTAAAACCAGGAATTCAACTCTTCATGCTGATTTATTTACCTGTGTAGAGTATTGTGTCAAAGAACGCACTGCAATATCGGGGAAATTCCCAGCATGACGCCCAGGAGTTTCTGCTGTGGCTTCTGGACCGAGTTCATGAAGACCTCAATCATGCGGTGAAGCAGAGCGGCCAGCCTCCGCTGAAGGTGAGGGTGCGCGCCCTGCTGGGGCAGCCAGGGAGCCGGAAGCAGGGGGCTCCGGGATGGTTTAGTGAATGGAGTAAATGTAGATTCTTCTCTCAGACCTCCACTGAGGAGTTGTTGCGGTTTGCATTTAGTTAATAATAGTGAAATCAACTAAGCCCTGGGTAAGTATAAAATTCAGGGGTACTTAGAGGATTTTCCTTGTGTTTACTGCTTGCTGGCAGCATAAGAGAGATGCTGTGTCTAAGGAACTTAGAGTCTAGGGAGGGAGGACATATTTGCGTGTGTGACTAGCTTTAGACTACAGTCAAGTGATTCCAGGTCACTAAGCTGTATTTAAAGCAGAAATTGCTTTCTTTTCCAGTGAGACACATAGACTTACAGATGCCCGAAATGAATACACACTCTAAAAGGAAATGAATGGATGTCTTTGCTATTACAATTGGATTTGAGTGTAGGAACTGAACCCCTAGAATATTCTACTAAGAAATAGTGATTCTTCCTCAGTTTTTATGCATGCAGCCTTAATATGATTGGTGAAATGATTTCTGTAGTGGAAATAATAGACCAAAGAGTTGCTATTCGCTTGCCATTTTTAAAGGTTTTGATAATTCTGCACTGTATCTCAAAATTTCAGTCTGTGATTTTGGTAAGGTGTTAAGTAATTCTGATTTAAGGTCCCTCTGTGCCCATACACTCTGTACTGTCATAGGACCACGTGATTGTGGCTAGGTGTCCCACCAGACTGAAATGTACTCAAGGTCAGGCACTGTGTCTTATTTATCTTTGTGTCCTTGTGCCCTTTGCGGGGCTCTCTGTACATGCTAGCAGGTGTTCAGTGACTGTCAGGTGGATGGACATGAAAAGGCCAATTAAATATGCAGTAGAGTGGCTGGGCACCAAATCGAGCAGCACAGCTGGCAGGGGCTCGAGCGGGTGGGCACCATGGTGGGGGTTATTTCCTGGAAGAGCCCAGAGGGAGACCTTCAGAGCTGGAGGGAGATGGGAGCACCCTATGGAAGGACTGCTGGGCTGCCTGGGTGGGGTGGAGAGACCAGCACAGGCACGGTCTGTGGAAGAGCCTATGACATGCATCCTCATGACCCCCATCCTGGCCACTGCATTCTGATGCCTTCAGCACATTCTTTTCACTGGAACATCTGGACCTGATGCACAGCTTGTAGAGGAAGTCAGGACATTTGTGACTGTTTCAGGTTTATCTCCCATCAAAAATTGGTACTTCTAATGTGTGAAATTATACTTGCCCTTTTTTTAGCCACCATCAGAGACTGAAATGATGCCTGAGGGACCATCTTTTCCTGTCTGTAGCACTTTTGTACAAGAACTTTTTCAAGCCCAGTACAGGTATGAGCATATCAAATTGTCTCTTATGTGGTCTGCTTGACATAGCTCTAGATGATCTTACTGTGTGTGTCTCTCATTTTTGTCTCTGAAGATCTTCTTTGACATGTCCTCACTGTCAGAAGCAGAGCAACACCTTTGACCCTTTCCTCTGCATTTCTTTGCCAATTCCTCTACCCCACACAAGGTAAGAAGAGCAGGTTTAATAAAATTAAGACTGTACATTCCTGTGTATTCCTTTCCTCTGTAGGCTCCTGTTCGGTCTCTTACTTACTTAGGTAACGAGATTAGTGATAAATTGAATACAGGCATTGTAAAAACCTCACAGAAGTCTGTAAATCCCAGTCTGAATTTACAAGGTGAGCAGGCACATGGGGCAAGCAAGTCTTTTTACAGTTCCTGTGGTTGTCGTCTGTTCAGTTGCTTGTCCACTGATAGTGTGGGGCAGGGGGAGGGTTGTGGAGTGTCTTCTAGATTTTCTAGAGACTATATGTTGCACTTTAAATTAGTTACTTTATATGAACTGTTTTTTTCAAAATTTCTGAGAGGCTTTGTAACATACAAAGCACAGAATCAAGTGTTGATATGTTACATTTTGTTTGACTGCCTTTTCCAAAGGTGTCTTGATTATTGTTTTCTGGTTCCACTTACCCCCTTTGGCTTCCAAATAAAGGTGTGGGTTAGCTTCAGTTTTGTGTTAATTTCAGATCAGGTTTGTTTTGCTTCTGTATTTTAGTTGAAATAAATGCCTAATGAGAAGATCTGACTTTGATCTGCACAGGCCTCTCTATGTTACCGTAGTGTATCAGGGGAAATGTTCTCACTGCATGAGGATTGGTGTGGCCGTGCCTCTGTCTGGGACTGTCGCCAGGCTTCGGGAAGCAGTGTCTATGGAAACAAAGATCCCCACTGATCAGGTAATAAGCCTGCTCAGGCTGATTACACATGAGCCATAAAAGTGTTGCTTTCTGTTCTGGAATTTTCTAATAGTCCTCTGCCAAGTATGGTTAGATAGAAATGCAAAACCAGTTATGTCTGTGTTAAGGAAAGAAAAATCAAGACCCAAAGAAGGAAAATATACATGAAAACTTTTCATGCTTCATTTAATTATACATATATTTTTAAAAGGAAAGCTGTGACTTGACACCAAGACCTTCTTTTAGCTTTGTTTATAAAGCATAATTACTCAGCCTTTCTTAAACTATCCTTATGGATGCTTATGTGGGCAATTGAAAGAGCATCCCTATGCTATTTGAAGGTCAGAGAGGCTTGGAAAACTCCACTAATGGCTCTTGAAAATCCCTTTCCATTATGGTGATAAGGATGGATATCTTCTTGCTGGTGTAGTACATAGAGATGCTCCATATGGTTCGCTTCCTGCTTAAAGCTGGGTCAGAGACTCACTTCATTTAGATGCGAGAAAGGAACGTTGTGCCCCTTCTGCCTTCTTTTGGGGGGGGTGTAAATTTTTGATAAGTAGTTATATTTAAATTGACCCAAAATACTTTTGGCTTGTTTGTGACTTGACATTTTGCATACAGTTTTTACTCAATTCATTATTACGATTTTATTTAGAAAAACATTTCTGATTTTAGATTTACTAAAGAAAGATGATCCTGTGGTAGAATAACTTTTCCCTAGATAGCTTCTGGAAGCTGCTGTGTAATCACGTGATTAATAAAGGTGTTTTGTACTTTGGCCTCATGTGGCTTCATTTGGGAAGTTCCAGTAAAACAAATACAACCAATAATATAGCAAATATCTCATATTTTCATAGGCCAAGTACTGGCGTGTTGATAAAATGTTCATATTCTTCCTTACTTTCAAGTGCTTTTTGATTCTTTTTTCCCTTCAGGATGAGGGGAAAGACTGAAAGAGGGAGGCAGGCTGAGGTGTGTGTTTCTGGGCAGATCTGGTTGTATCTTTAAAGCTTCAGTGCTCTCTGGCTCTTTTTGCATGTGGTTTAAATGGCTGATAGAATTACAAGTTTGTTTTTAACGTTAGCTTGCTGGAGAAAGTAAATTACCTTGCATGTTCACCTGCAGAAAAACAATGTGGTTATTAAACTCATCAGAAGAAAAATACTCTAGGGGTATTTTTCTTGGACTATTTGTGGAATGTGCCACCAGCCTCTTTAACCTCACAGACTCGTAGTATGTTTTTGTTAGCAGAGGGGATTTTAGGGCTCCCTTCCAAGCCCCTCATTTGAAGGAGGCCCAGAGAAACCATGTGACTTGTTCAAGAGCATAGGGCTGGTTGGTGGCAGGCTGGGACTGGAGCCTCTTCATGCCCAGTCCAGTGCTTCTTCTCTAGACAGTGCTGCTGAGCATGTAGTGAGCATCTAAATGTTTCCATTGTGTCCCCCCCCCCTTTTTTATTGTGAAAACTCAACCATTTCAGAAACAGGACTTAGAAAGTAGAAGTATCTTGTCCTAAGTATCTGAGAACTCAGAGTTACTGACTCTAATACTGTGTTGTATATTCACCCCTATTTTTCCTGTGCATATACTACATTTGTTATTTTATAAAGAATGGAATCATTTACACAAATTATTCTTTATGTCACTTCTTATTTAACTAGGAGATCTTCCCATGTTAGTGCACGTATGTGCGGCTCATTCTTTGTAACTACAGTAGGACTATGTAATATACTTAACTAGTTCCTAGTTTGGGTTGATTTCATTTTTTTTTTTCCTTTTACAAAATCTGTGGTTGTATGACATTTTTAACCTGAAACAAAGAAAAGTTATTGAGGTAGGAGAAAGTCTCGGAATTAGATGTGGTCTCTGCTTGTCTTGTTGACAAGTCTCCCACCTCTCTTCAGTTTCTCCCCCTTGTGAGACAAGGGGCTTATACTTTATCATTTCCTGGGGACTCTTCTTTACAAAAACTTAGAGGAACTCTGGATTCCGTGACATAGCATTCTGAAATGAGGGTATGTTACACATTTACAGAGGATATCGTGCTTCTATGATTCTCTCACTGAAGGCAAACAGTGTGGGCCCTGTGACATGTTTCAGTCCCTCTCATGTCCCCACAAGCCCTGACAGACTGGAGAAGCTCATGGTAGAATTGGGAGATCAATTCATATTGACTTTCCAGTTACCCAACTGTTTACATTTTTCCCATTTTTAGATTGTGTTAACGGAAATGTACTATGATGGGTTCCATCGTTCCTTTTGTGACACAGACGACCTGGAAACAGTCCATGAAAGCGACTGCATTTTTGCCTTTGAGACTCCAGAAATATTTAGGCCTGAAGGAATTCTCAGTCAAAGAGGTAAATGAGCATCTGTTTCCATAGGGTTTTCAGGTTTCACAACTGTCTACCCTTTGAGATGTCTGTTCTATAATGGCATACTTTTTTTTAACTATGGTAAAATACCCATAACTTATTTTTATGATGGTATAAATTTTATGGTAACATTTCTCTGGAACAAGGCAGTTCTCACTGTTTTAGGCAAAGATATTTCCTTAGTTTCTAATCTTTTCTGCCTGCACTTGGAGCAGTCCCTATCTGAGGCTCAGAACTGACTGAATCCTCCCTCCTTTTTGGTTAAGTGGCTTCTTAGCATCTTATGACAGCATTTGGGAAGATGTATGATGCCATAGCTGCCTTTTTTTTTTTTTTTTTTTTGCCTTTTGTTACCTGCTCCGATGCTTAATTTCTAGATTCTAACTCGGTTATAAGATGTTTGCTTAATACCTTGCTTTTAAGAAATTGGCATCAATAAGAAGCAAAAGAAAGTCTAGCTCTGGACAGTGCTGTTCCTTTTCCTGTGGTTTGGAACTTAGCCTGTCTCTCTACTGTGGTTGGAGGATTTGGGGGCTGTTTCTGATTTCGAAAGTTGCTAGGCAACTCGAACTTTGTTCCTGGCCTTAGTGTTCTTCATGGTTCTGGGGCTTCTGTTCTTTTTCTGTACTTTACTCCAGTGATTGTTAAAGCATGAAAGGCACCTGGGAACTGGTTAGAAATGCAGATTCCCGGAACCTACTGCAGACCGACTGAACGAGAAGCTCTGGGGCTGGGGCCCAGCCTGCGGTTTTTCACAGGTGATTGCAGTGGGAGACTGGAATCGCCCAAGCGGGAGAGCAGCCGAACTGAGAACCTGGGCTGAGCAGTGTCTTTCTCCTGCTGTGTTTGTTAGAACTGAACCTCCCTGCTCAGCTGCTTTTCCTCTGCTTCCATCGCTGACTTCTGACTCTCCCTCGGAATCTCTGCTTAGAAGTCCTGCGTCGTCTTCACACTCAGCATTTCTTAGACTGTATCCTCCTGCATTTCTTTTCTGGAATCATGGTAGCACCATCCTTCTTTTCACCCCAGGTGGCTCCAAGCACTTCTCCCTCAAAATTCACATGGGAATGATTAAACACTATGCCGTTTTCTTCCTCATCCTCTCGCCACTGGTATGGCTCAGACCAATCTCAGCTGGGCTTTTCTAGTAACTTCTCTACTGTCTTCGCCCCTCGACTTTCTTCTGTTAATTATTTTTTCATGGTGCCACCAGGCTTTTTTGGATATACATTTCTGATCATATTATATGCTTATTGACTTGCCAGTGTTTCCCTTTTGAGATTAAATCTGAACACCTTGGAAGAATTCATGGTTGGTCCTTGCCTTTCTTTCTAGCCTCTTTATTATATTCCATCTCCTTCATGTACCCTATATAGGTTACTCTGTAGTTTTGGAATATGTCATGTACTTTTATACTTTCTTTCTGTTGAGAATTCATTTCTCTAGCTCCTTTATCAGCTCCTACTTTATCTCCCCTACACGTGCCTCCCTGCAATCCACTCATCTCACCCAGTCCTAAGCAACCACGCTATTCTACTCTGATCTCTGTAGATTTCCCTAGTTTAGACGTTCATGTGAACAGAAACATACAACATGTGGCCTTTTGTGACTTGTTTCTTTCACTTAGCATATTGTCTCAGGGTTCATCCATATTGTAGCATGTATCAGTCCCTCAGTCCTTTTTATCGCTGAAGAGTATTCTATTGTATGTATATGCCACATTTTGTTTATCCATTTATCTGTTGATGGACATTTGGGTTGTTTCCACATTATGAAATAGTGCTGTTATGACCATTCACGTACAAGTATTTGTTTGAATACCTGTTTTCAGTTTTTTGGGGGGATACACACATCCATACACACACCCCTAGGAGTGGAAACACTGAGTCATGGTAATTCTGTGTTTAACCTTCTGAGGAATTGTCAGACTGTTTTTTTCAACAGGTGAATCATTTTTCATCCCACCAATATATAAGGGTCATAATTTATCCACATTCTTGCCAACATTTATTATTTTCCATCTTTTTGATTATAGCCATCCTAGTGGGTGTGAAGTGGTGTGTTAATGTGTTTGTATTTGCATGATAAATGATGTTGATCATGTTTTCATGTGCTTTGGACATTGGTTTACCTTCTTTAGAAAAATGTCTATTCAGATTTTTAAATGGGGTTGTTAGTTTATTTTTGTTATTGAGTTGTAGGAGTTCTTTATATATGCTGGATGCTATATATAAATATATATATGCTGGATGCTAGACCCTTATCAGATATATGACTTCCAAGTATTTTCTCCCATTCTATAGATTGCCTTTTCACTTTCCTGATAGTGTCTTTTGATGCACAAAAGTTCTTAGTTTTGATGAAGTCTAATGTTTTCTTTTTTTGTGGCTTATGCTTTTTGTTGCTTATCTAAGATTCCATTCTTAAATCCAGGACCAGGAAATTTACCCCTGTGTTTACTTCTAGGAGTTTTAGCTCTTACACTTAGATCTTTGCACCCTTTTGAGTTTTAGCTCTTACATTTTAGCTCTTACATTTAGATCTTTGTACCCTTTTGAGTTATTTTTTGTATGTGGTTTGTGGTGGGTATTCAGCTGCATTCTTCTGTTGTATGTAAACAGTAATCCTAGCACCATTTGTCAGAGATACTATTCTTTCCACATTGAATGATCTTGGTGTCCTTGTTGAATGTCCTTATTTTGGTTCCTCCTTTCCTTCATCACCTATTTCCAGAGGTGCCTAGAGTTTCTGAACCTTTTGGTAATTCTGTACATTGGGTTGGTCAACTTTCTCTGCTGCCAGTCTAGGATTCCGTTATCTCTGGTATACCCATATTTACATTATTATTTTCTAAGTAGTCTTTTGTTTCAGTTTTAATTTTTCTTTGACCTGACAGCTTCTTTTTATTTTCAAGTGGCATTTTCATGTGTGTGCTTTGCTCAAGTTGTTTTCTACTTTTAATTACATTACAGTAAAAGAATACTCAGTTAATCACCTTTTCCAGAAAGCTTTTCCTCACCACTCCCCCCCTCCCCCCGAACCCCTCCTCCCAAGCTGGCTGACTTCCTCCTCCTCCTTGCTCCAGTCACATCTTCTAATCTCTGACACCAGCACGTTGTATGCAGATGATCTTTTTTCTCCTCTGTCCTTCCACTGCACTATGAAATTCTTTGCAGTTGGGGCTGTGTTTTGTTTTCTCTTTCTGTACCCAGCAGTTCAGTATAGTTCCTCATGCATAACAAGAGCCCAGTTAAAGTTTGTTAACTGAAGATTTGCTAAAATCCCCTTTCACACCCTCATTGCTAAGGGTTAACACTAAGTTTCCGTTTTTAAGTGAATTTGGTGAGGTCCAAGGTTATCATCTACTAACCAGAGAGTGCCTCTGTTGGAAGACCAGACCACTTATTGAGTATGTGTTAGCCTCTGTTAAAGCCTTGTAAATAACTTATTTGAGATGTATGAATCTGCTACCTTCCTGCTTTGCAAATAAGAGAGCGAAGTCTTGGGGAGGTTGAGTAACCATCCCAGTCATGCATCTGCTAGCAAGTGGGGGTGCTTCTTGAACACAGAGCTTGATTTCTGTGCAGTTGAGTGGTGCCCCCTCATCTCATTAGGGACCCTCATCACTTTAGCACACGCCAGCCTTCTGCAAAGAGCTGGGAAATTAGATAATTCATTGTCTCAAATTCAGACTTATTTTTATTTTCTCATATCAAAGTTTAAAATAACTATAAAGTGAAATCTGTTCTTCCTTTTGTGATCTCTTTTTGGTGTTTAAGCTTAAAAAGTCTTCCTCTCATAGCTTGATGAAAATTCTATTTTTTCTTCTAATTTCTGTATACTTTTTTTTTTTAAATTCTAATTCACCTGGAATTTATTTCGATTAACCACACATTGGTCCTTTTAAATTGCTGTAATACTAATGTCCCTTAATAGGTTTGGCAGGTCTCATATTGCTGGATATTTAGGTTGTTGCTAAAATGCTGCCATGAATGCTTTTGTATAGCCACTTTTTTAGTCTCCTTTTGGTGGTGGGCTTGTTTGTGTGTTTGTGCATGTGGCGGTTGTGGTGGTGGTGGTCGAGGGCTTTCCTTCCCCTTCCCTTTTTTTAAAAAAGATTTTTGTTTAAGAGAGAGTGAGAGAGACCACGGGGAATGGGGAGAGGCAGAGGGAGTGGGAGAAGCAGACTCTTTCCTGATCAGGGAGCCTGATGTGGGGCTTGATCCCAGGACCCTGAGATTGTGACCTGAGCTTCAGGCAGATATTTAACTGACTGAGCCACTGAGGCAACCCGGAGGGCTTTCTTTTTTTTTTTGCAGGTTTCCTTAGGCTGTACTTCCAGAGGATTAAAGAAAAGAACAACTAATTTTATTTTTTTATTGAGGTATAATTGACATATAACATGTTAGTTTCAGAGGGTACAATATAATGATTCAGTGTTTGTATATAGTGCAAAATGATCATTACAGGAAGTCTAGTTAACACCCATCTCCATATAGTTAACAACAGTTTTTTATTATGATGAGAACTTTTAAGATCTACTCTCTTAGCAACTTTCAGATATACAGTACAGTATTAGCTGTAGTCACCATGCTGTACATTAGATCCCATTACTTATTTATTTATAGCTGGAAGTTTGTACCTTTTGATCCCCTTTCACTGAATTTGCCTGACATCACCTCACCCTCTGCAACCACTAATCCGTTCTCTGTATGTGTGAGCTTGGTTTTGTTGATACTGTCTTATATTCCACATATAATGAGATCATATGGTATTTCTCTTTCTCTGATTTCTTTCATTTAGCATAATGCCCTTAACGTCCATCCATGTTATTGCAAATGGCAAGAGTTCCTTCTTTTTTATGGCTGAGTAGTATTCCATGAACATGAACCGTTGTTTAATCGAGCACTTGAGTTTCTGCTAAGTACAGGGCATTGTACTAGGTGCTGAGTTGCTGACTGGCTCTGATAGCTCTATTTTCACCTGATTTTCAGCAATCTGTATCATGCCCATCAGTCATATATTTTTGTTCACTTAAATGTAGGTCCATCTAGTGTGGTTGATTGTATTAAAGTTGCCATGTCTTATAATGGCTATGGATCTGGTAAGGATGGTTTATCTTCTGTTTCTCATAACTCTGGCTCTTTAATTAGGGAGAAGAAACTGCAGTTAGAATATTGAAGTTCATTCCACATTTACTAGTCTTAAATTTTTTTTTTCCCAGTTTATTTGGTTGCTGGTTGCATAGTCTTACCTTAAATTTGTCTTGGCGGATCATCTTTGCAAACTTGCTCTTCTAAAACTGTATCCAGTATTTGCTCAAGTGAAGAGGGCTTTTTGTTGTTGTTGTTGTTGTTTAAGATTTATTTATTTGAGAGAGAGAGTGCATGAGCAGGGGAAGGAGCAGAGGAAGAGAGAGAGACTCCTCAAGCAGATTCCCCACCAAGTATGGAGCCCTGGTATGGGGCTCGATCCGAGGACGCTGAGATCATTACCTGAGCTGAAATCAAGAGTCAGATGCTCAGCTGACTGAACCACCCAGGTGACCTCAAGTGAAGAGTTTTAAATTTCAGTTTTCAAGATACATAAAGCTAGTTTAAAGGAAATGTAGATACTTACATTATTTTAATGGTGGGGCGCCTGGGTGGCTCAGTCGGTTAAGCCTCTGACTTTTGATTTCAGCTCAGATTCTTGATCTCAGGGTTGTGAGTTCAAGCCTCACTTGGGCTCCACGCTGGATATAGAGCCTAATTTAAAAAAAAAAAGTGAAAAAGAAAAAATTATTTTAATGGCTAAAGAAGTTATCTCAAAGTAGATCATTGTTTTTTTTATTATAGTTTAAATTACATAATGCAGTTTCTTAATTTCTCTTTTGCATGAATTTCTTTGTAATGAATAAAAGGAATTTTTAATTGATAATGTTCTTTTTTATTTTTTTTTCCAGGAATCCACTTAAACAACAATCTAAACCACTTGAAATTTGGCTTGGATCATCGACTATCTTCTCCTACACAGGCAGCAGCAAAGCAAGGGAAAACAGACTTGCCCCCAACAAGAGCAGGAAACGACAAGATTGTTCTATTAGTGTGTAACCGAGCGTGCACTGGGCAGCAAGGGAAAAGGTAAAAACTGGCTCATAATAAGTGCTGAAACTTTAAAAGTTCAGTATTTTCAAACATTTTAAAAAGTAAGGTTGAAAAACCCTTACTTTTATTAATTTTTGATTCGGATATTTAGAAAGAATATGTGTATTAGTTGACCTGATTTGAGGGTTTGGGAGGGGGAGAATATAAAATTAGGATGATAGAATCAGAATTAGAAAGGCTCTGCAAGCTCATCTAGTTGTTAAAGTCTTGGTTCATGGGTTTATTTTTAGTTCAGGTTCCTCAAGGGGCCTGTAGGCCGAAATCCAGCTACTTTCTTAACAGCTTTTTTTTCCCTTTTAAAAAAATTCTTAACATATCTACTTGAATGGTACATGCATCTCAGTCTTATGTTCCAAACTGAACTGGTTCTCTCTATAAATCTGGCCTCCAGTATTTCCTGTCTCAGCAAGTGGTGGCACTATTCATTTAGCTGCTTAAGTCAGAAAATTGGGAGTTGCAAATCTCTCTCAAATCTGTTTCCTGCTAAGAATTTATAGGAGTTTTAGACTATCTTTTAAGGCAACTCTACCACAGTAGTACTGTAACCTGAGTAATAACAAAATATGGATATGTTTCATGGACAAAGGACTCTCTTTCTGCTGTTTGTCAGAATAGCATTTTATTAGTCTTTTAAAATGTTGCTTCGAAATAACTTCCTTATTTATAATGGTTAATGTAAGTACGAAATGTGTTGATTTGTGTATTTATGATATTCGTTAACAAATACTTCAATGTTTACAGCATGTTGGGCACTGTTCCAGCACTGGGCATGGGGCAGTGAACGAGACAGACTGTGTTCTTGTGGATCTTACATCCCAGTGAGGACAGACCCGCTGTAAATAAGTAAACACAGATCACTTCAGACAGTCTTCACCACTTAGAAGATATTAAAGCGGGCCGGGGTGGTAGAGTGTGCTGGTCGGGGGGCGGCCAGACCCCTCCAGAGAGGGGGACAGGGAGGTCCACCTGAAGAAGGAGCATGGAGCTGAGGAGACAGTGTAAGTGATGTGAGCCTCCAGAGAGAAGGCTTTGTGGGGAGAGAACATGAGTACAAAAACCCTGAGACTAAGGGGAACTTGGCATGTTTAAGGAGCAGAAAGAACGGCAGCTCAGTGTGTTGATATAGAATAAAGAACCTGTGGAGTCCCTTTTGTGATGCTCTTCTCTTGCAAGTGAAGACACGACCGTGTGAAAAATAGGAGTGGCCGATTTACATGTGCCTGTAATTTCTTTCACGTCACAGTGCTGTTTGTGGAGTACTGCTCTGTGTAGACGGAGGCTGTTAGGAATGGCTTTTTTGATCTGAGTGCATCTCCTTCAGCCTGAGTCAGGGTTTATCTCTTGGCTCCTTCGTTCATTCATTAAGCACTATGGATTTCTGGGCGTTGGCTGTTTGGGTCACTGTGATAAATAAATCACAGTTCCTGCTGTCAGAAAACTGTCTACTGGTGGAGGCAGGAAGATAGACAGCATTTGTAGCATGGTGGAGTTAGTGCTGTGGCCCAGACAGCACAGGGAACAAATCAACAGGGTGCTTCCTAGAGAAGAATCCCTCTACTGGGTCTTGATGTGAGTGAGTAGGAGGTGGCCTAGAGGAAGGGTGGAGGGGTGTTCCGGGGGAGGGAGTTGACTGCACAGAGAATGAGTAAGACACGCGTAGGGCACAAATAGGTCTGAGTGGCCAGGCTTGGGTGAGAGAGCCCCTGGGCCAGGGGTCCTCGGCCCTGGCTGCATATCAGAACCACCTGGGGGCTCCTCAATAAATCTCTGTGCTCGGCCCCTGTACCAGAGTGATTACAGCAGAATCTTGGGGGCTTAATTAAAAAAAAAAAATCCCCGGGGGCTGCAGCATGGGCAGGGGCACATGGCTTCTACCATAGGCTGGAAGCTGACTTTCAGGGTCACTTGCTTGCCACCAACTTCCTTGTCAGACTACGGCCACCTGCCTGCTAGACCTTCTAGTCTATTCCTGCAGCACACAGCCCCTTATATGTGGACCCATGCTGTTTGCCAGACCATGTCCTCAACCGTCCCCTTTCCTCACCATACCCATTGATCCTGTCCTCTTGCTATCTAGTACCCCTGAGAAGCCATTTTGGCACATGAACTGTTAAATTTCATTTAGAAACCTAAGCTTCTCTGCTGACTTTTACATCCACTTATGGGAGTAACTATTAAATTTCCTGTTTTATTTTGAGAACTGTCCTAAACCCGATAATATAGTCATTCCATTTTAAGAGACCATGAATGAAGAATTACGCATTAAAGGGATTGCCATACTTTTAAGGTGATTGCAGTATTTATGTGTGTTAGATTTGGACTGCCTTTTGTGCTGCACTTAGAGAAGACAATAGCGTGGGACCTTTTGCAGAAGGAAATCTTGGAGAAGATGAAGTATTTCCTGAGGCCCACAGTTTGCGTCCAGGTGAGTAAGCATTTTGACACTCCAGCATAGCATGCGTGTGTACCCAAGTGAAGAAACAGTCACTGCGGTGAAATTTGAATTTCGGACCTCTGCACTTAGGGAAGACCAGGTGCTGAGCTGGGATGTTGAGGAGCCCTGGTGGAAAGCTGTTTGGTAAAGTCAGCTGTGTTCACATTTTCAAGACTAAGAATTTACCCCTCAGTTCCTGGCCACTGCAAGAATTTCTTTGAATTGCTAGGTATTTCTTTATAATATATATTTATTTAATAAAGATTAGTACATGATCAGCTTTGAGAGATTTTGTAGAACAGCTATCTGTATATTTTCACAATTAGGATTATTATATGAAGGTATTCCTGGAGGACTTACATTCAATTAAGGTTCAGCCTGAAGCAACATATTACTTGTCTTGCATAACATATTCGCTATGTAAATTGCATTTAAGTACATCATCTTTAAAGTGTGTAAGAGTGACTCAACAACCTAACAGAATATCAGAGAGAAGCATTTTGCAAAACCGTCTGTTGTCTGTCTAATCAGTTTTGGAAATGCCACTGTGACGCACATGCCCTTGAAGAGCAGTTCAGCCACATTTTCCTTTATTGTTTGACGCAGGTGTGTCCATTCAGTTTGCGTGTTGTCAGTGTTGTGGGGATAACATACTTGTTGCCCCAGGAGGAGCAGCCGCTGTGCCACCCAACAGTAGAAAGGTAACAATCAGTCACCTTGTAGAATTTTAGTAATGCTCCTATGTCATTTCTAGTGATGTCTGGTATCATTTCTACCTCAGTGTGGTAGGCTCTTTAGGCTTGTTTAGAAATTAAGTCTACTTATTTTACTTTTCATTCATACTTGAGTATGATATATATGATATTTTTTGAAGTCAGAGAAGCCTGGAGTAGTCCTGTCAGGAAATCAAATTATTGTATGTCCCAGGACTTCAGCTAAATTACACTTTAATATTCAGTCAGGATGGAACTTACCCAAAGTAGAATTCTCATCATGCCACTCTCCTCCTGGAAATCTTAAATGGAAACCTATAGCCTAAAAGGTAAAGTCTGACTTCCACGGTGTATGAAGCTCTACATGGTTTGAACCCTGCTACTTCCCGCTTTGTCAGGCCCCGCTCCTCCTCCCATCTCAGACTTTCAGTAGTATCAGAGCACGAGGATTGCTGGAACGTGTGGCACAGCTTTGTGTGTGCCTTTGCATGTGTGGTGCCCTCTGTTGATCATTCCATTCCTTTGAGCCTTCTTCCTGTCCCTCCTCTCCCTCAGTAGACCTTGTCACTTCATTCTGCTGCCTCTGTGCTTGGTTTATGGGGGAGAAGGAGAGATGCAGGAGCAGACTTTGTTTCCAGAGGAACTATTGTCTGGTCTCTATCTGGGTTGGTGAGAAATGAGACAAAAAATTAGAAAGGTCATAAAGAATATCTAAAAGTGATTGTGGACAGCCTTATAACATGAGACTAATTTCTTCCAATCTCTTTATTTCTATACTGGACATTTTTATTTAAAGATTTTTTTAAATTTATTTATTGGACAGAGAGATCACAAGTAGGAAGAGAGCAGGCGGGGGGGTGGGCGGTAAGCAGGCTCCCTGCTGAGTGGAGATTCCTATGTGGGGCTCGATCCCATGACCCTGATATCATGACCTGAGCCGAAGGCAGAGGCTTTTAACCCACCGAGCCACCCAGGCGCCCCTATACTGGATATTTTAATTTAAGGATTTTTTAGTCCAATTGTAACCTAGTTATTCTAGATACGAGGTCATAATGGTCTCACTAGAAACTTTTTCTGATAAGGAACGATGATGAAGATTTTCAGTAATTGCAGTAATCGCAGTTTATGATATTGAATTTCAAATAGGACATAATCACATAAGTAAAATCATTTCTTTAGAACATAATATGTGACTTCCATCTCTGTGCTCTAGGGCATTAAAATCTTGTGGACCAGGTGGCACTGCTCATGTGAAGTTAGTGGTAGAATGGGACAAGGAAACAAAAGATTTGTAAGTATTTTTTTTTTTTTACCTAGTGCTTATAGAATCATTGTTTTAATGATCATTTTAATAGCATCCCTTTGATCTTTCAGATTAGCTAAAACAAATCTCTCTTTAAGTATCCAAATGGACTGCTAATCCTTTATTTAACCAGTTGTCTGGATCTCAAAAACCTCAGAGTATTTGTTGGATGCTGATCAGACAGAACTATTTATTCATTACTCTACAGGGCCAATTACTTTTTTAAAACTTTTAGAGAGAGCACGCTCAAGGAGGGGTTAGGGAGGGGAGGAGAGGGAGAGAGAGAGAATCTTAATCCACGCTGGGCAAGGAGCCTAACTCAGGACTTAATCCCACAACCCAGAGATCATGACCTGAGCTGAAATCAAGAGTGGGATGCTTAACTGACTGCGCCACCCAGCTGCCCCTTTAATTTTTACTATAGGCCCATTAACTCTTGTAAATTGTGCCAAATGCCCTTAGATACGCACGACAAGAATATATGAATTAATAGTTCATGACCACTCCCATGATAACCAACTCCCAAGTTATTTCTTGAAAATATCTTTATAGATACAGAACTTTTCAAGCATATTTTGAAACATAGAGAAGTTGGATGACCAGTTGGGTAACGTGTTTGCTTTCATTACACATTGGTTCTTTTTGGTTATAAATTTACAGTCACATTGTGAAGCTGCAGTTTTGAGGTCAGTTTTGCAAGACATTCTCTCATAATTACCCACCCCCTCCCTCATTGCAGCCTGTTTGTAAATACTGAAGATGAATATATTCCTGATGCAGAAAGCGTCCGTCTGCAGAGGGAGCGTCATCATCAGCCTCAGACTTGCACTTTATCCCAGTGTTTCCAGCTCTACACCAAAGAGGAGCGGGTAAGCTCCTGGCAGCGCTTCTTGGGTGGGGAGGGGCGGGGGTATGGGGCGGGATGACACGAGAGAAGCAGGTGATGCCGCAGAAAAGTCCCCAGGCATTCTGCAGCCATGTAAGTTCTGCACACTTGATGGGCATCTAAGTGCTGTCTCTTTTAGGACTTTAACAAAGAGTAGTTTAGATTACTAGAAAATTTTGACTGATTGAAATGCTCTAGAAGTGAACCTTCATAGTTAATATTTTCCCTTTTTAACAATAGTACATTTTTTTGTTTCGATTTAGAGATTTTGTCTGTTTATTCTTAAGACTTTATTGAGAGCGAGAGAGAGCACGCACATGAGAGAGAGAGCACAAGTGGGTGGGGGGCCGAGGGAGAGGGAGAAGCAGACTCTCCACTTAGCAGGGAGCCCGACGCAGGGCTCAGTCCCAGGATCATGGGATCATGACCTGAGGCGATGGCAGACATTTAACCAACTGAGCCACCCAGGCGCCCCTTGATTCAGAGATTTTAAATCATTTGCCCTAGTAACCAGAATAGTGATTCTTAATTTTTTGGTGCTAAGAACATAGGTGCTAGAACCTATTTAAATTTAAACTAAATTAATGAAAATGAAGTAAAATTAAAAATTCAGTTCCTTAGCTACAGCAGGTATACACGGAAAGTTCTATCAAACAGCATGCTTTGGACCGCTCAACACAGCACAGATAGCGGGGACTCAGTGAATATTTGAATGGAAGAGTGGACAGATACATGGATAGATAAGTCTCTGTGGAGGGGGCCAAGGCCTGTGTGGTTTAAAACTCTTTAGGTTTATGCACCTTGACTAGAGTACTTGGCGTTCATCTAATCTTGAGTTGATGTTTAGGATCATAATTTTGACTAATTGTTATTGCTCACTCTTGTATGTAGTGAACCCTGAAATTTTAGGGCCGGAGGGGACTTTAAAACTCCTTTATTCTAAAGGTTGAGTTCTTTTACCTAATTGCAAATAGGTGATTGTCCAGCCACTGTTTGGATACCTTAGTTATGAGGCATTAGTCTCTACTCAAGAGACACACCATTTCCTCTCTAGATGTCTCTGATGGTCACGGAGGCTGCCCTGAAATGGGCCCCAGGTTACTGTAGCCAACAGGCATTCTCTCTCCTGAGTTTGTTAAGGATATTTGAGGACAAGTCTTACTTTTCTTCCACTTGTCTATCCTTTAAATATTTGAGAATACTTCTAATATTCTCACAGAGTCTTTTTCCCCCAAGCTGTTCATAGCAGTTCCTTTAATAATAGTTTTTTTTTATAAGACCTATTTTTTCTTTTTCAGTGTGGGGCCTAATTATAAAATAGTTAGTTGGCTTTATTTATTTATTTTTTGTTTTTTTATTTTTAAAGATTTTTTTTTAATTTATTCATGGACAGAGAGAGATCACAAGTAGGCAGAGAAGCAGGCAGAGAGAGAGAAGGTGGGGAGAAGCAGGCTCCCTGCTGAGCAGAGGGCCTGATGCGGGACTCAATCCCAGGACCCTGAGATCATGACCTGAGCCGAAGGCAGAAGCTTACCCACTGAGCCACCCAGGCGTCCCGGCTTAATTTTTTTAATTTTTAAAAAAAAATTTTAGATTTTACATATTTATTTGAGAGAGAGAACAGAGCAGGGAGGAGAGGAGAGGGAGAAGCAGACCCCCTGCTGTGCAGGGAGCCTGATGTGGGGTTTGATCCCAGCACCTGGGGATCATGACCTGAATTGAAGGCAGATGCTTAACTGACTGAGCCACCCAGGCGCCCCAGTTAGTTGGCTTTAAAATGGGTTGATAGTAGACTGTGTTTGGAACTTTGTCCTATTTGTGGGGTTTTTTTTTTTTCCCCTCTTTTTAATTTTGGAGATGTTTGAGAATGGCACAGAGCTTAAAACTGATCAGATCTTCTAGATGACAACATTGGTATTCCACAAAACATCTCACTGATCTAGAAGGATGAGTTCAAGCTGGCAAGATACATTTTAGTAGAGATTCATTCGTTCGATAAATGTTTACTAAGTACATACTATGTGTTAGGTGCTACGCATGGTACTGGGGATATAATAGGGACCGGGCCAGGTGGTGTTTCTGCCTTTGGGCTGTTTATAGGCTAGTGGGGATAAATAAGTAAATCAAGGAAGCAACTGGATGTGGTTGAGAAACAGGAATGAGGCCAGTGTGGCTGGAACAAAGACCTGAGGAAGAGAGTTGTGGGAATCTGTCCTAGCATAACCTTAGCATCTGTATATCTGTAGCATCAATAAGCAGTGCCTGGCACAGAGAAAGCATGTGGTAAGTACATAAGAATGAATGAATAAATGAGTATAACTGGGGCAGTTCAGTTATCAGGTCCAAAAATAACAGTACAGGTACAGAGGAGGAGACAAGGAGACTTAGCAGCAGGCCATGAGGCGGTAACTTTGGGTGTAGTTGTCTGGAAGCTCAGTATTGGTTCTCAGTGTCACGTGTCAGCCAATCAGCTGCCTTAAGGATACTTTAATTTTTTATTTTTTTAAAGATTTTATGTATGTATTTGACAGAGACACAGTGAGAGAAGGAACACAAGCAAGGAGAGTAGGAGTGGGAGAAGCAGGCCTCCCGCCGGGCAGGGAGCCGGATGTGGGGCCCGATCCCAGGATCCTGGGATCATGACCTGAGCCGAAGGCAGACGCCTAACGACTGAGCCACCCAGGTGCCCCATGGATAACTTTTAAACCCGTGCCCAGAACTCAGATGGTGACAGCACTGCTCTTTTCATTACCTTAAATGTTCATGGTTAAAAGAGTGACAAACCGGGGGAGAGTGGCTAGGAGATGGTGCATCTGGAAACTATAATGCGCTGAATATCTTTTGATAGAGGCGGACTTAAGTGGCGACCTGATAGTAATTTTTAGGTACTTCAAGGACTGTCTGTGGATGAGGGACTGGACTGAATTCTATCTAAAAAGCAGAACTTAAAGATTGGAAACACAAGGGAGAATGTATTTGTCTTAATATGAGAAAGGACTCCCTGACCATCTGAAAACAAAACAGCTCCCCGCTGAGATGGCTGGCCTTTGCTTGCTGAGCAGAGTTAGCTGGACCGGCGGTGCTCCAAATACGATCTGCAGGGCCAGGAGCTCTTTGTAGCAGTTTGCAAGAAAAAAAGTGCAGAAATCAGAGGCATTTTAGAAAATGTCATAGCTGTTAGACATTGTCAGGACATTCTTACTGTATCTTATGTAAGTATATATATTAGAAGTTAACAAAACAAATAACAACTTGGCCCTTTACCACAAGGCCTGGGCTGGATGCCCACATTTGGAGACTATTACTATGTCACAGAGAGGTGCAGACTTACTGGATGACAGTGTAGGTCCCTGCAGGTCTAAGTGTCTGAGCCACTTCCATCCACCCAGATTTCTATTTCTCCCCATGTTTCCTACAAACATGATTGGGTGTCCCTGTCATGAAAAAAAAAAAAAGAGTCCCTTCAATTCTGTTTCCCTTTCCAGTGACCGGGCCTGCCTTTTCCCTTTCCCTTTCCCTCCTCCTTTCTGCTTCATTCTCCTTTAGTGGTTTCCGCTCTTTCTCTCCCTGCATCTGCCTGCGCTTCTGACACTGTCCTCTCAATCTCTCGGTGGCCCCTGGTTTGCCCAGTTCTGTGGCCTTTGCTCCATCTCCATCCGATCTCTCCAGGATCTTGCCATTCTTTCTCCTTGGTGTGCATAAAAAAGAACGCTTCTGGTTTGCCTATTTTTCTGACTATACATCCTCAGGCTCTGGTGGTTTCTCAGCTTTAGTATTTCGTTTAAAAAGAGGCATTTCACCAAGATTCTGTTCTTGACTTCTGTCTGTTCCATCTCAGCGGGCACTCTCATCCATACCGTGGTTTCCTTACCTCATCACTCTCGTGGCCCTCAATCCCATGCATCTTCTGAACTCAGGAGGGGATTGAAATCTCTCACCAGACGTGCGGCATGGGCACCTCTAACTGAATGTGTCCGCATCCTGCAAGCCTCGCCTGGAGAGATGACACATGTGGACTTGAAGCCTCAGAAAGACCTTGTTGCTAGCAGGAGGTGGGGGCATTCTTCAGAGCTTTTCATTGTTTGGGTGGAGAGAGCGGTTAGGAAACTTGCAGAGGTCCAGGTAAGAGCAGGGGTGAGGATTTGGAATTAAGGCCATCTCCGTGGGAATGGAGTAGAGGAGGCAGGTGTGAGCTGTGGTGGGGACAATTACTTCGGATAGATGTGGAATCAGAAGAAGAGCGAAGGGTTTGAAGGCTTGCGATACCCACCCCCACCCCTGCCACGGGTGCTAATTTTGGTGGGCGGTAGTGGTGGTTGCTGAGGTAGGACGTAGAGGGGGAAGAAGTGTGTTGATGGAAAGGCTACAGGTTGAGTTTGGGAGTTTGTGGAATTTGAGGTCCTTCTGTGACATTGAACGTCCTCGGTGGAATATTTACCTGTTCAGTCATCCCTTTTTTTTTTTTTTTTTTAATTTTATTTTTTTTAAGATTTTATTTATTTATTTGACAGGCAGAGATCACAAGTAGGCGGAGAGGCAGGCAGAGAGAGAGAGGAGGAAGCAGGCTCCCTGCTGAGCAGAGAGCCCAATGTGGGGCTCGATCCTAGGACCCTGGGATCATGACCTGAGCCGAAGGCAGAGGCTTTAACCCACTGAGCCACCCAGGCGCCCCAGTCATCCCTTTTTGAGAGATAATGTATTCAGCAAATCTTCGGGGGCCAGCTCTGGCCAGGTGCCTCTTGCGATTGTGCTTTTCCATTGACTCCCTATCATACGTGGTTTCCAGTGAGATTCTGAATCACACCTGCCCTGACCAGGAACGGAGTGCCATGGTCTCCTCTAGAAAGTCTTGCATTAAGTGCTGCTTAACGGAAGTTGTTTTGTGCTGCTTGTTTTCAGCTCGCCCCAGATGACGCCTGGCGTTGCCCGCACTGTAAGCAGCTGCAGCAGGGGAGCATTACGTTAAGCCTCTGGACTCTGCCTGATGTGCTTATTATACATCTCAAGAGATTTCGACAGGTAGGTAAATCCTCTGTCCTAGTGAGAAAAGCTGTGACGGCGTTTCTTACGGTGGGCTGCATGGGGATTTTTCAGGTGTCCCTTTTTGATGTAGTGTGTCTGTCCGTGGTGTTACAGACACATCTGTCCCCTGTTTCTTTTTGCCAAAGTTGCTTCTTACCCAAAGCAAAATTGGAGCATCCTGTAACCCTTTAATTTCTAAACATTTTAGTTCATACTGCAGACATTTTACTTTGTTTTTGAGGACTTGCTTTTGATTTGTGAATGTTGTATTTTAAATTTGGTAAGTGTACTTTGGGGAAAAAAAAAAAAGTAGAGCTCCTTTCTGGGGTGGGTAGAATTCTCTTTGCACCAATAATGGGTGTCATTCTGCTCTCAGGGAGCTGTCATATAGTTGGGAAGATGAGTCATAAATATATACAAAGAAAAGCTGCTTTGAGCTGAATTACTCTGAGTCAGTTTTTCAAAAAAGCTCTATCCCGAGGCCCCGTTGTAGGAGAGGTAAAGAGGAAGTAAATGTTTACGAAGTGCCTGAGGCCTAGCTTTAAGGTTTGTATCTTAAAGGTTAGGAGGAGGCATCTCCCAGGTGAGGTGGCAGCAGGGCTGTGGGCGCGCTGGGGCAGGGGAGCAGTGTGCGCTGAGCCCTAGGCACGGATAGCACGTGCCAGAGACTGAAAACAGGCCAGTTTGGCTGAAGCTCCAGAGGGTGGGGGAAGCTGTGAGTTGAGGTCAAAGGGGTGTGCAGGAACTGGCCAAGCAGACCCTTGCAGGCAGAGTGGGATTCTGATAAAGGGTTATAACCAGAGAAGCAACATGACCAAATTGGTGATTTGAAGAGACCATTCTGGCTGCCATGCGGAGAATGTGAGGCTGTACCCATGAAGCTAGGGAGATCTGAAAGGAGCCATGGCAACTGCCCAGGGGAGGGATGCTGCTGTGGAGCAGTGGCAATGGAGATAAGACCGGAATAGAATCAGAAGATGTTGAGGACTTGCTGATGAAGTGGAGGTGTCTGCGGTGACGTGCACAGTATCCCTGGGGCTGGGCTTTCACTCAAAGGCTTGGGGTTTGGCTCCTGTAATAGTAAGGAATGTCCCAACTGCATGCTTCCATGGTAGAAATGCATTCTTCCACGGGTAGAAAGCTGACGATGTTCAGAGCCCAGACTTCTCTGGCTCCTTACACACACACACACACACACACACACACTAACTTCCTTCACTTTCTCTTTCTTTAGAAGGCCTGTCCTCACACTGCGCACACCTCCGACTCAAAGCGGCATTGTTGCTTTTGACTTCTTTCTTGGCCTTCCCCTACAGCCAGTCACCTCTTGAGCTTGGCTGAGCCTCCGCATGGTCTCCTGAGTGTGTCCCCTTCTCCCCATTCGTGCTGTCAGCCTGCCCTGCAGACCTGTGAGACTAACCAGCTCGTTGCAGTCACATTGTCTTCTACTTGATTTCCTAACCTAAGCTGCTCCTTCATGTCACGTCCTGTGCACTGCTCACACAGCTCTGATGATGTCCCCTCCTCCCTCAAGCCTCGGTGCTTGACTGCCGAACAAGGTCCAGATTCTTTAGTCTGACCTTCCTGACCATCTAGGGCGCATCCTGCCTTTCTCTTATGAACATTTTTCTTCTCTTAATAGATCCTTGGTTCCTTGGGGTGGGCGTTAGCCGTGCCTGGTTAATTTCTTAAAGCTCCCATAGATAGGAAACATTCAGGAAACAGCCATTGAGCTAATGGTTGGATTTCAGAGGATTTCCCAGTGGCCTCAATAGAAACTACAGATTACCCAAGATTATCACCTAAATGAATATATTAAGTCAGTGTTAGGCAGTAACGTGCTTGTTGGGGGAGGTGGGGAGGAAAAGGGCATACTGCTTATCCATCGCTCTTCTGTGCCAGCATTGTGCGTTGTCTCTCACGTACATGATCACTCCGTCCCTTGTGCATGCCTCTGTGACAGAGGTATTAGGATGAACTGCCTGATAATGTCATTCTGTAAGTCAAAAAACCTAAAAACCCTGTATCAGATAAGGAAATGGAGACTCAGAGGTTCATGACCCCTTATACGTAGGTCATGTCTTGTTCTACTTTTAGTGGTATTACAACCTGTTTCTCCAGGTAGTTCAAACTGTTAGTGAATTTCCCTATTTTGTATGTGCCTTGGGAAACATCAGATAGGTAACTCAAACCACTCTAGCTGATAGGGTCCACATTCCACACAAAACTGATCTCCCATCTACTTGCATGAAAATATCATCAGAACTTGTTTTTCTTCTTGCAACAGGAAGGAGACAGGCGTGTGAAACTTCAGAACATGGTCAAGTTCCCCTTGACTGGCCTGGATATGACACCTCATGTGGTTAAGAGAAGTCAGAGCAGCTGGAGTTTGCCATCCCATTGGTCTCCATGGAGACGGCCCTATGGACTCGGGAGGGACCCTGAGGACTACGTCTATGACCTGTATGCTGTGTGCAATCATCATGGCACCATGCAAGGGGGGCACTACACAGGTCTGCAGTGCGAGAGGCCGGGTGTCTATGCTGACCCTTCCTTTAGACAGCTTTTGGTTTTGACAGGGTTACTTTTGCTTTAGAACCTCTCTTTCTCTTCCAGTAGGCAGTGTGCCAACTTTGAGGGCAGTTTCATCCTCTGGATCTCTATCCAAGAGCAAATAAATGAAAATTCTTCCTTTTCCTGAGTTGGATCCTCCAGTAATTGTCTGACCTGACTGGGGAGCGGTGCGTGCAGACAGCACTGTCTAGGCCACCAAGGGCTCACTGTGGTTACCTCCCCTGCGCTCCACATTTAAGGTTTCATTCCGCCTCCTTGAAATTCTAGCTTCTTGCTTATTTGGAGTGGTTATATGAACCAGCTTCATAGAGTCTTTAAAGTGACTTGGAAGAGCTTTTTTTTTGTTTCAAGGCTAAATTTATTCTTCATTTTTTAAAAGTGACTTTGTTCATTATCTGAAATTTATAGACTAGAGAGAGGGAGAGAAAGAACATTATTATCACCCATGGGCTCATCACTCAAAATAACCGTTGGTAACATTTAAAAAAAGTAGCGATAAATGTACCTATCAAAATTGACCATTTGAACCACGTTTGAAGTGTGCAGCTCATTGGCACTAAGTACATTTACATTGTTGTGCGGCCCTCACCACCACCCATCTCCAGACGTTTTCTTCTTTCCAAAAGGAAACATTAAACAGCAACTCTCATCTGCCTTCTTTCCCCCATCTCCTGGCTACCACCAGTCTTCCTGTCTCTCTGAATCTGATTACTCCTGGAACCTTCTGTAAGTGGAACCATATAGTAGTTGTCCTTTTGTCCAGCTTAGTTCATGTAAGATTCACCTGTGTTCTAAATGTGTCGGAATCTCCTTCCTTTTAAAGCTGAATGATAGTGTCCCTTGTATGTAGGTAATATTTCTTGCAGTGTTTTTCTGTAAGTTTTGGCCATTATTTTACACTGTCATGATTGTACTGGTAGGTTCTATTTAGGTAAACATTCATGGGCTACATCCTACATAGCTTGCCATGGGCTCACAGCAGAGACGCATCAGAAACGAGCAGGCCTTAATTCTGTCTTCCAGGAGCATAATCGGATAAGGGGATATAGGGCCGGATGATATGTAAGATCAGGAATGTGTCATAGGTTCTGTGGTGGAAATGTGCGTGGCAGGGGGCCACGAGAATGTGGTCAGAGTGCGGGAGGTACAGGAGAAGCTGTGGGGATAGTAACCTGCTGTCGGTAGAGAATGTACGTTCCATTGATAATGTTGTTTCTCAAGAAAATGCACTTTCTAGCAAGAAATTGTTGAGAAAAAGTAAGACAGAACTGGATTTTATCCTGTTTTGTTCCCTATATAGAGTGGGTTTTGGAAAATACCTGAAAACCCACAGGTACTTTGGAGGTCCTATAGTTTAGAGACAGGAACATGGGCTAGAAGCTAGACACCTCTTCCACGTTCTGTGACCTATGGCAGGTGACCTCACATGAACTTGGTGACTACGCCAGTGAGCTAGAAGGGTGCAGGCCTGCCTCTTGGGACCTGTTGTTACCTACGAAGAGCTTAGGCACTTTCTGCATTATTTCCCCTTTGTGATGCCTAGGTTATACCACTGCTTTTCTGATTGATATATAAAAGTTTACGGTTTTAGTTTAGAGAACATTTTAAATGCCTTAGTGTTGTTGAATTCAAGATAACATGTTTTTAAGTTTTTAATTGGAATTTTATTTTGGACTAGTTCTAGCTATAATCACATAGTACGTGTATGGCTGACTCGTGTATGAATTCTAGATCAGACTTCCTTAATGAAGAACCTGCCTTTTTTCTTTTTTAAAATTTCCAATTTTTCATGAAACAGCCTTTGTAAAAATACAGTAAGAATATCACAACAGCGTCAGATTGCTATTTAATGCTAATCTCAGTTTGGGTGCTTATCTTGTGGACCGAGACCAGTCTATGAACCACAATTTGAGTAGCACTTGTCTAGAGAACAATTGAGAAGCTAGTGCCAGGAAGAAAAGCAAGCAGAATTATTTTGTAAATACACTGAAACCATTAGTGATTTGCCTTGCTGCCTTAGTTGCCTTACTGTGACTGAGAACAGACCACCCTGAAGAGAAACACTGCAGCATAAGTGCTGGGCTGCTCTGTAACCGTGTCTTGGGTGTGTGTCCCACTCTAGACGAGCAGCCACCTCGCCAGCCGGGTCATTTCTATATCAAGTCTGACCTGACACCACTGGCCAGTTGCTGTTTTACCAGCTCCTGTGCTGCCTCTCTCTCCACTTCTCTCCCCTTCTCGTTCTAGGAGTTCATAGCTATCCATGACTTCCCTACCCACAATCAAAGATTCTTATTCTGCTCTTCTTTTCGGGGACTTGTCCAGTGTAGCCCCTCCTCACCTGGGTCCCTTTCATTTCTTAAGGTTCCATACTGACAAATGTGGCTGTTGTCTACAAGGGAGTCACTCTGGAGTGGGAACTCCAGAGCTCTAGGACACTATATGCCCTGCTCCTGGAGTGTTCAGTGAAATATTCTAGCACTCATTCATTCTCACTCCAATAAATGGGTATTTGTAGAAAGAGTGATAAGAATGTATCCCTCTGGATCAAACTTATCACACCCCTTGATATATCCTTTTGAGATTACATAGCTTCGTGAACACTAAGTTCTTATCTGCTTTTGTTGGTACTTGAATGGTCATTATTTCTATCTCAGGCTTAGAATTTGAACTGGAGAGAAACATGCATGCATTTATGAGCTCAAATGTTCTTAGTTTGCCAGGGGACTTCTGGGTCTTTGTTTGTGCTACCCCTGAGGGAGGCAGGGTGGGGTGATTTAAGTGTAAGCTCAGGGACTAGATTCATCTGTTGTGAGCTGGGGCCCTGCCCTTCACCAGCTGCTTGACCTTGGGCAAACCAGTTAATATTTTTGAGCTTCTGTAAAATGGGAATAATAATAGAACAAATCTCATAGGATTAGCTGAGAAGTTTGTCACGTAATAAGTGCTAAACAAATATTAGCTGCTGGTAGTATTAGTATCCTTATTTCTAGTTCTGTTTTCTATCTCTAATAAACATTAAAATGTGATAACATGCTTATATCAGGGTTTTCCAGCCTTAGCACTCTTGACAGTTTGGCTGGATAATTCTTGCAGCGGTGACTGTCCTGGGCATTGTAGAATGTTGAACAGGATCCCCAGTCACCCACTCAATGCCAGTAGCACCCTGCCCTCTAGTGTGACAGTCAAAAATGTCTCCATTCATTGCGAGGTGTCCCTAGGGGAGCAGAATTGTCACAGGTTGAGACCCACTGGTTTAAATAAATGAGTATATTGTGTTTTCTAAGATTAAAGAGAGTTTTGTCCATCTGGAATAGTTTAGAATTCCCTGAAACATTTTTCTGAGTGTGATAGACAATTTGAATTTCTTTTTTAACCATATTACATGCAGCCTTAAAAAGCTCTTGAATTAATGATGCAAGCCAAAACACAAGTGTCTTTGGGCAGAGTGGAGTGGCTAGCACCCTCCTCCCCTGGTACTGATGACAGGCTCTTTTTTGGCAGCGTACTGTAAGAACTCTGTGGACGGCCTTTGGTACTGCTTTGATGACAGCGACGTGCAGCAGCTGTCGGAAGATGAGGTCTGCACACAGACTGCGTACATCCTTTTCTACCAGAGGCGGACGGCTATTCCATCATGGTCGGCCAACAGCTCAGTGGCAGGTAAGGCCAACTTATTCTTCGGCAGGTTTTTCTAGAACAGAAGATTGTAATGAATGGTCCAGAGAACTCCACAAGGTCTCATGACTCCGTGGGGCTGATCAGATAAATCGTCACATTTACACTTAATCCAGAAACCAAAATGATTGCAGTCAAGAAAACAGGGATGCAACGTGTGAACCAGCAGAGTTCACATGGAAGCGAGTCTCAAAGTGAGCTCACCATGTTTGCTTGTGGTATGAGCGAATGAATAAATGAATGGATGGATGGATGGATGGAAAAACAGTGTGGCATGCTACTCTAAAAGAGAGAATGAGTCTTGGCTTTGCCATGTTTTGGTTGAATCATCATCTTGGAGCACATCCCATCTAAGCCACATATTTAATCCCCTGTAATCTGGGAATACCAATAATGCCTGCCGTACGGGGTCATCGTGTGCATCACATTCGGTAAGTGAACGTTAGAGCCTTTTAGGAAAGGTAAAGCGCTATTAGAAATAGTTATTTTTCCCTGTGAGGTTGGCCTGTTCTATTAGAAGGGTTAAAGGCTATAGTCCTATTAGATGGGCTTAGTTTAGCTGGATGGGATCTAGTCTGGATACAGCCACACAGTCCAAACAAGATGATGCATGCTTCTTTTTTTTTTTTTTTTTAAGATTTTACTTATTTATTTGATAGACAGAGATCACAAGTAGAGGAGAGGCAGGCAGAGAGGGAGAGGGGGAAAGCAGGTTCCCTGCTGAGCAGAGAGGCCTATGTGGGGCTCGATCCCAGGATCCTGGGAACATGACCTGAGCCGAAGGCAGAGGCTTTAACCCACCGAGCCACCCAGGCACCCCGATGCATGCTTCTTAATGCAGAGTTTAAGAGACTGTGGCTGAGGACGGGGACACGGTAACCTGGGATCACGTTAGGGAGTACTAGCCCTGGACTGAAGCTTGTGAGAGGTAAGTTCGAAGCCTCTGGAAGGGGGCACAGCTGAAGCAGTGTGAGCCCCTGCTGGAGTCAAGCCCCACTCAGTACACCTGCCTCTGTGTAGGCACTCACTCCATTAAGAGAGTGGGAACTCTAGTGCTCTAGTCCTTTCACCCAGTGCTTTCCACAGCCTGAGATATGCTTGGAAATTACATCCTCTCAAAGTCTATTAAAGACGTGTTCTCAATTTCAAGAGCAGTATTTGTTGCTCTGGAGTATATTTTAGGGCATCCCTGGAATGGACAGTAAGAGACTGACATGCAGCCTGGGTATGTGCGTATGTGTGTGTGTTTGTATATTAACATCGTGAAAATGACTTAACTATCCACAAAGCAGTGAGGCTAAGTAGATAACGGAGCATGCCACTTTTATTTACTCTGTGTGGGAATTTTTTCCGTGTGCTTAGAACAGTGCCTGGCAGTAGGTGCTTAATAAATATTTGTAGAATGAGTATGAATGATTCCATTGCCAGCACTTAAGACCTGCACTTTGCATTATAAAGTGTCCATGTCTACACTTGCATTTCACTACTATAAACATGTGCGAGTCTGCCCTCCTTCTCATCTTAATGGAACAGGCAAGCAGCATGGGCTCAGCCAGCTTCCAGCTCCGGCAGCCGCACTTCTGTGCAGGTGTGCACCGAGCCGCCAGCCCGGGATTCTGACCTGACCTCAGTGCCCACTTCCTTTACTGCAGGCTCCACAAGTTCTTCCTTGTGTGAACACTGGGTGAGCCGACTCCCGGGGAGCAAGCAAGCCAGCGTGACCTCTGCAGCTTCCTCCAGACGTACCTCCCTGGCCTCGTTGTCCGAGTCGGTGGAGATGGCTGGGGAGAGGAGTGAAGATGATGGTGGGTATGGGTTTTGTGACACATTTCCATGATGGTGTCTCATAGACATGCACAGTGTACCTCATGCTTAGGAACTAAGGCCCAAGAAGACTGGGAGAAGGTAAAAGGGCTGTGTAGCTGTAGGTTACAGTCGTAAGTGCTATTTTCTATAAACCTGGTCATTCACTTTTCCTCTGTAAACTTTAGGATGACTTTCTTCTCCCACTTCATTATTTTCCACTTCTAAGGTCTAGCGTGGAGACTGGAGCTCTAACTCTGTACAAAAATATATATATTTCTTTCAAAGTGCTTTTCAGAGTCCTTAAAATAAGCTGTAAGGGGACTCTGCAAAGTGGTGATTTGCCCCGGGCCTCCTGGCAAGGAGGAGTCACGGTGCTGACTCCGGTGAGAGCTACCCGACCCTTGACTTCTCTCCTTTCTACCTCCGTTTCCTTTAGAGGAATTTGTGGCATGTTCTTTTAAGTATAGAAGCATCTAGAGCAAAAACTCTTGCCTTTGCATAAAGGTAGTTTTCAAGAATTCTGAAGATGGTCACAATACAAAAACTTGGGAAATACAATACAAATGGACCTCCCCCTTTTTTTAAACCTTCACTGATTGCTTGAGTAATGGCAGCAGAACCCTCAGTTCTGACAGGAACCCCAGGTGGTGCGGGAGGGATCAGGCAGCCCAGGCACTGAGGCTGGGAGGAGGTGAGAGTGAGCTCAGCTTCTCTAATGAGGACGGTGACTCATGTCCCAGCAAGTCTCCTTCTGTGGCCAGGCCAGCCGGTGGCGGCCAGCTGGTGGCTGTAATCTTCATCTTGCGATGGGTAATTGTGAGAACTGAGAACGTGAAGTGGAGGGAAGCAGCAGGAGGCTGGCAGGGGAGGTCTGCGTCATTTCGACTCCAGCCCCGCTCCCTCTTCTGGCTTGTTACCTCTTTATTTGTAAAGTAATAGTACTTAACTGGAATCGCTAAGCTCCTGACATTTTATGGAAAACCAGCCAATGGACCTTTGCTTGTTTAGGTAGGTTTTTCTCAATGTGGCCTTTAAATTTAGAATTCACTGTTTTAACAGTAAGCTGGTTTACCCTCGGTCAGTTTTTAAACAGTGTAGTTGGTGAAATCAACTATTCCACAAAGGAATAGCAAAAACTATTCCTCTTCAGCATCGTCATCACTGGGGGGCCGGGTGGTGCCCACAGAGCAGAGCCTGTCTCTGGGGATCTTATCTGGAAGGTTTTACACCACAGCTACAGTACCCAACATGCACGGCGTCTGATTTAGAATATTTTCTTTGGAAGGAAGTTTTAAGGCACTCAAAACAGAAGTGTGTAGTTCTAATTATGAACTTTTTCTTCGGAAGTTTGAAATCACTCAGGAGTATATTGTTCTGATTATGGATATTTCCTTCAGAAGTTTGAAGTCACTCAGGCTAGGAGTATATTGTCTCTGTTTTTTTCCACGGATCTGCTAGTCAGTAATCACAAGTCAGACTGCATGTGGCATTGAGTCAGGGGCAAGGGTTTATGGTTCTGGTGTTTGCTCTGCCTCTGACTCTTTAATCTTGAGCCACGACTTGACTTCTGTGGGTCCTGGTTGTCCTTAGATGAGGAAACTGCATCAGTAGCTCACGTTTACTGAGTGCCTGCGAAGTGCCAGGTGGGCACAAGACTTTCAGGATTTTATTTAGTTCTTATAGTAATCCTGTGAGTTAGAGCAGACTGCCTATGGGCGAAATATGGCCCCTGTCTTTATTTGTAAATAAAGCCACACCCATTGATTTATGTGTCTTCTGTGGTGGCTTTCATCCTGCAGTGACAGAGCTGAGTGGTTGGCTCACAAACCCTAGAGCATGAACTGTCTGAGCCTTTAAGTCTCTTGACCCCCGAAGTACAGCAAGAAGTAAAGAGACCCTTCGCTGATTTTTTAGTTAGAATGTCCCTATTTTGTACAGAGGGGAATGGCGCTTAGAAAAGTTGGAAGTCACGTGGCTGCCTTTGTGACCCCAGACATGCTGGCTGTGACGGTCACACTCCTGTCATTCCACCAGGCTTGCCTGCCTTCCATCTTCAATATCTTAAGGTGTTGCTGGGACGTGTTTTCTGTTTAGGTTAACGCTATTCTCTCTGCTGCATTCAGGAGGTTTCTCAACTCGACCATTCGTGAGAAGTGTCCAGCGTCAGAGCTTGTCATCCAGATCTTCTGTCACCAGCCCCTTGGCCGTTAATGACAATTGCATTAGACCTTCTTGGTCCCTGTCCACCAAGCTGCAGATGCGCTCCAGTTCTCCCTCCCGGTTCTCAGGGGACTCTCCGATCCACACCTCTGCCTCCACCTTGGAGAAGATCGGGGAGGCAGCGGATGACAAGGTCTCTATCTCTTGCTTTGGCAGCTTGAGGAACCTTGCCAGCAGTTACCAGGAATCAAATGATACTCACAGCCGACGTGAGCACAAGGCTGTGGGTCGGGCCCCTCTGGCTGTCATGGAAGGTGTGTTCAGAGACGAATCAGACACCCGCAAATTGAACTCCAGTGTTGTAGACACACAGAGCAAAAACTCAGCACAAGGGGATCATGTGCCCCCCATCTCTGATCCATTTGATAACAATAACCAGATTGCTTATGTGGATCAGAGCGATTCTGTAGACAGCTCTCCAGTCAAAGAAGTGAAACCCACAAGCCACCCGGGCTCCCTCACAAAGAAACCAGACAGCACAGCCAAGAGATCCCCCAGCTCCAAAGGTACTTCTGAGCCAGACAGAAGCTTGCGGAAGGGGAGACCAGTCTTGGCAAGCCAGGAATCCTCTCTTTCAAGTACATCCCCTTCTTCTCCTGTTCCTGTAAAAGTTTCTATAAAGCCCTCCCGCTCCCGAAGCAAAGCAGATTCTTCTTCCAGGGCCAGTGGACGGCATTCCTCCCCTGCCGCTGGCCAGTCCAGAAGGGAGTCCTCCTCCAAACCCCAGGACTCCACGTCATCTCCTTCACCCCAGAGGCAGAAATCATCTTCCTCCCTCACTTACACTGCTCCCTCCACATCTGCCAAAAAATCCTCGGGCCCTGCTGCAAGGGGCCCCTTCCCTCCTGGGAAGAGCAGGACTTCAGACTGGAGCTTGAGTAGAGAGGGCTCCAGGCAAAGCCTGGCTTCGGACAGAGCCAGCGTCACCTCCAGCTCTAAACCCAACTCCCCTCGGGTGAGCCAGGCCAGGGCCGGGGAGAGCCGAGGGGATGGAAAGCATGTCAGGAGCTCCTCCATGGCCAGTCTGCGTTCCCCCAATGCAAACATGAAGTCTGGTCTGAAAAGGGACAGCAAGTCAGAGGACAAGGGGCTGTCCTTCTTCAAGTCAGCCTTGAGACAGAAGGAAACCCGGCGGTCGACTGACCTTGGCAAAACAACCTTGCTCTCCAAGAAGGCTGGTGGGAGCTCTGTCAAGTCGGCTGGTAAGAATGCCGTGGATGACAAGGCAGAGAAAGGCTACCAGCCTCCAGGTTCCCAGCAGCCAAATGCAAGTGCAGCTGGAAAAGAGCAGCTTGTCTCCAAGGACCCTGCTTCTGCTAAACATTCCCTGCTTTCTGCTCGCAAATCCAAGTCTTCCCAGCTAGATTCTGGAGTGCCGGCATCTCCTGGTGGCAGGCAGTCCGCTGAGAAATCCTCAAAAAAGTTATCTTCTAGCATGCAAACCTCTGCACGGCCTTCTCCAAAACCTCAGTGATATTTCTGCAATCTAAGTGTTTTATCTGTAAAGATGTTTATTTATTTAGAACCCTTCCCTCCCACCAAAGCCCTCTATGCTTTTGTATGTTTTGGGTCACGTGCCTGGTGTGCGTGTGTGTGTGTGTGCGCGCGCGTGTGTGAGTGTGTGTATATGTGTGTGTAGAATTCAACTGCAAATTGTTAAAAGCGTCGCCTTATTCTGCCATTGAACCAAATAACAGCCGTAGGCAAAGCATTGATACCAAGCTAACTGGAAGAATTGTAGACGAGACCCTGGGCGGTCCCTTTAGCAATTGTACATATTTCTTTCTAGAGAACTCTCATGACTTCCGTTGGGCATTAGGGTTTGGAAACCTCTGAACCAGTTAGGCTGTCGTTAGCGTGTGCTGTAGAAGGATCGGTTGTTTGACTTGGGTTTCATCTGAGCAGGATTTGTCCTCACAGCTGATTGTTGTATGGCACCAGGAGCTCTAAAAACTGTGACGCTGACAACGAACAAACTGAGAGAAGACTTGCTTTCTGCACTTTGGCCCCATCTACCAGTCTCTGTAAAGGGCAGTATTTTCACACTAATGTTTCTCAGGTATATATTCAGCCAGTTTAGGGTGGATGCACATCAGTAAAAGGGTTGACAAAGAAGGTGGCCTGTGAGTGACTGTCGCTTCTCCAGCTGCTGCAGATAGAAATTTCTAGAGGCAGAACTGAAGTCTTTCAGACCTTCATGTCTGCAAAGATGTGTGTACTATAAGCTGTCTTGATTCTTAAGATATGTCCTAAGAGGTGGCACATAGGACAGCCAGAGAGCCAGTCACTAATTAATTTTGTTTTCCTTCTAAATTTGCTAGCTATGGCCATTGGCATTTTGAAATGTAGTAGAGCAGTTAACACCTTTGAAAGAGTCCTGGAAAAAAGTGGATTCTGACCTGGATGCATGAATCTGTACCATTTTCCTTCTCTGCTGTTGCTTTTTTCTGTGTTGGAAGCTGAAAGCTCGATGCTACCCTCTGTGCGCGTGCCCGTGTTTCTTGTAACTTGGAGAGGAAAGAAGATGCCTAATGCCAAACGTCAGTCGATGGTGCGTTGAAGCAGTGTGTGACGAAGTATTCCGTGTGTGCTTCTGATGCTGCCTGTCAGTGTCAGTTGTAGACTGCTTTCCAGTAAGTCGTTCATTTCTTCTCTGTGCTTAAGACTTCATCTCTCACCCAGAACTCAGAAGCAGGATTGGAGCATGTTCCATCTGGTGTTGTCAGTGCAAATTGCATTTCTTGTTCAGAAAACAAGGGAACCTCACCAAAATCTCACCGATAAGCAAGATACATAGTTCTTCAAGATTTCTGGAGGTATCCTGGCAAGTTTTAGCTTTTCTTTCTTTTTTTTTTTTTCTATTTCTTTTTTTAAGTGTCAAGAGAGTCATGACCCTGATTCTCTTTGCATAGCATTTGTCGCTTTGCTATGAAGTACAGCATGCTAAGTTTTTATGGTTTAAAATACTAACTTGTAAAAAAAAAAAATTGTAAACCCTTCTAGTTCTTCCTAAACTCTTGGTGCACAAATCCATTTATAACCTCCCTTTTCAGTATTGCTGTGTGTGAAGTGATTAGAATACATACACATGCATAGCTATGAATTCTGCACTGCCTTTTTTTTTTCCCCTCCCCATCCCGCCTTCCCCCGTGAATACCTCTTGGGAAATATTTCCAGTAGGTTTCTAACTTTATTTTGCTGCTACTTTGAGCGTTAGCAGGTAACTTGCAAGTCTGGAGGCCATTGTTGCTGAGGGTAGCTGGAATTTTAGACCCTTGCAATTTTTAAGACTTAGCTACTCTGCCTTGTGGAAGTTACCATAGTGCTCCGTGAAGTTCACTGAACATGAGCCTGTTGCCCAGTGCACTCAGTCCTGTACTCACCCCTTCACTAGGTGTCCCCGTTGCATTGCACCAGCTTCTGGTCTCCCAAAGCAGCGCTCCTCTCCTCTCTGTTGTAGTGTGACCGTCGACGACTGGCTGCCCTCAGTGTTGTCACTGCTTCCTCGGGCACACTGACAGCCCTCTCAGTGTTTAGCCACTGCTGGTTTTTCTGTGTCACTTTTATTTCCTGGAAAGGATGCACCAAGTATGGGATCATCAATCAGGAGTTGAATATTTGTCTGATTTGAGCCTCTCATCTTTCTTTCAAAAAGGTAGATGTCATTTGAAATCTCCTATCCGAAGCTCTGAAACAGGCTTAGAATTATAGTCTGTCTGCCCAAAGGGTTTAATAACACCTTTTTCTGTGGCTATTATCAGTTAAGCATTAGTAGAATCTAGTTTAATTTTCACGGTGGCAAATATTTTTTTTCGCGAGACCTTCAGGAATGGATTTTCCATTGTATCTACTCTTTTCCTAAAAAAAAAATAACCAAAAACACCAAACTAAAGAACAACTCTGCAGATTTCTTTTTAATTTTCCATGGGAACTAGAAAAAAAAATTCAGTATCTGTAAACTATAAGTCTGTGGGGTTTAGTCTTCTCTTTTTCATATTTAAATGAAAAAAAAAAAGTCAGGAAACCTTGCGGCATTGTCTGGGCATCTTTAAGCTGTTCTGTTTTTTTGCTTGATAAACAATGAAAATCTCATCCATAATGACTAGGAACCATCTTTAAGCCACAGAAGAGGATATTTGCTCAAAAGTTTGGACGTGGTCTTTGAGGTGTGAAAGATCTTACGGGAAAATTATTACTTGGTTCAGTTCAGTTGTTCAATAGCTTAGGGACATGGCGTTTGCTTTGTTTTTTATTTTCCTGGTGATGTTTGGCGCATTGAGCATATCTGTGCTTTGGGGTTAGAAATGATCTGTCAGGGATGGTGGTCCTGAGTTTCTGGTTGATAACCAGGTGGGCCAGAGCAGTCATTTCCTGGTAGGCACAGAGTAATCCCTGACAGGAGTGTGGCTTTTTAATGTTTTTTGCTTTAAAAAAAACTTTCTATTTTTGATTTCTTTTCCTTGTGAACATCCAGTGCACTGAGGCTATATCATTCCTTTGCAATCCCTTGTATAATGTGGAAGCACAACGAAACATTTGAGCTCATGTCATTTCAAGATCACCTCCCAGCCCTGGTGTTTTCCCATCCTAAAAGCAACCTAACTGAAAGGAAGTAATACCTCGCTGGACCAATAGCCATGGATGGGGAGTGTTTGTGGTCTGGTAAAATATTGTAGTTCTCTGTGAAGCTGCCCTAAACCCTTGTAATCATTCTTTCCTCATTCATTCATTCATTCTGCAAGCATTTGTTGAGGGCCTGCTTTGCTCCTAAAAGCAAGCGGAAAGCATCATGAATTCGCTGTAGCTGAGGAGCCCTGGGAGCCCACCTGATGAGCCAGGGGATGCCATTGATACCCTAAATGGAGTGACGGTCCCCGCCCCGAACAAAGAGAGCAAGTGGATTCTGGTGAACTGGCCAAGGCCTGTGGTCCTCTTGAGCAAGTCTCTCCTGTTCCAGAAACCAAAAGTGCCCTTCTTCATCTTCAGAGACATTTTACTCTTAACATCCACTTTTTCAGACTGAGCTGTCTCTACTACTTAGGGGTTGAAAATCCATTACAAAGTCAGTTTCCATTAGAATTTGGTCATCCACGGGTGTATGAAAGTAGATGTGGGGATTGGGGGCCGGGGACAAATTGCCATCTCTCTAAAGTAACTGTCACGGAAAAAACTAGGGACAGTATGTCAAGGAGGCGGTAGTGTCAGCCTTTAGGAAGAATGGAGCAAAGAAGAGCTGTGGAACAGAGCTCACTTACTTCAAATAAACGTGTTTCTAAAAAATAGCTTGACCTCTGACGTTACATTTCATTCTGACAAATAACCAAACAGCCGAAGCTGTTGTTTCGTACGTAGGTTATCGGAATTATTGGATGGCAAGATAATTAGTGTTTCTGGGTTGGATTTTTGAGATAGTATGCAAATCATAAGCACAGTTTCAATAAAACACATATTCTGTGAGGCGTGCTGAACTTGTATTATTTGGAATTGAGAAGAACAAACTTCGCTGACAAACCAGTGCCTATATCACAAACAGAGTAGCTGCTACGGTGCAGACTGTCGGTCTTTACTTTCGTAAAGGAAACGATACTGTTAAACCTGACTACATTTTTGAGGGGGAAATCCTATGCTTTCTTCAAATGAACACTTAGTGTTTCACACTGCCTTTTGATCAACTCTCAAAGTGTTTGTTTTGCAGCTGCCATTTGAGCATGACAAGTCATTTTTCCCCCCCCAAGTAATGAAAACAATTTTGCATGGCCTCCATCTAACCCAGAAAGCATGTTATTACCACCTATGCAAATAACTAATAAAATGTAGACTACCCTAAGTGTAAATTTTTTAAAAAGGCAATTCTTGGATTATGGAGCTCTATTTTTGAATTTGTAATTTTTTACACGTGGCTTAATCATCAGTACAGAAGGGCATGAATGTGTTTTCTTGTTTTGCTTGCAAATGTTTCTCTTTGCTGCTTGCTTTTTTTTTTTTTTATCGGCAAGATTGTATGTAAAATGGTATTTTGCAAGCAGGAGTGGAATTGGATATGTTGAACACACGGGTTTATATACTGTATTTAGCATGAACACTTTCCTAAAGTATTTTGTTCTAAAAAAAAATAACCTGCCATTTTCTATAGATTTTAATTTTTTATATCTTCTAAGGTTCTATTGTGGTCACAAGGAGAGAATGTGGCTTCTAATAGTGCTAACAATTTTAAAATGCTTTTGTAGAGACATAGAGCTGTTTCGGCAAGCTTCGGAGCTTCCCAGCCGTTCGTCACAATAAGACTAAGCTCATGGAATTTATGGTAGCATACTACAGTGGATTAGTTTCTAGATCCATCTCACAAGCATTCAAAACAAGTGTTTCCCAAGTTTGGAGGGAAGGGAGGTCCACTGCAGGCTCGTGAGGCTTTTTCAAATCTCATACGAGTACTCTGCTGAAGATTCTGTGAAGCCTCTTCTGAATGACTCGTCTGAGATTCTGATGCTCAGCACTCACTAGAATCGTCTAGAGAACTTTTAAAGATGCCTGGGTCCCACTCCCAAGATTTTGATCTAACTCGTGAAGGGGCAAGGTCCCAGGAATTGCCATCCATTTTAAAGTTCCTGGCGGTTTCTAATTTGCAGTCAGAATTAAGAACCACTGTGCTAAACACCATCCCTGTGGTGAGAATCACTGCCATGTGAAGCACTCAGGAGTGACTCAGACTCTTGTTTCATTGGAGAGGAAAGGGAAAAAAAGAGAACCACTGACTTAACATCCTGTTTGAAATAAGGGAGCCTCTCTGATTTGAGACCCTATTTGGGTGTTTGGAGCGTTTGGTGGGTGGCCCAACACTTGAGTCTAGTGGGATTCAGTGGTCTTCAGTTTGCCAGAGCAGACAGTCCCCTGGGTGGTGTGCGTCCTTCCCAGAGCCTTTTCCCTGGATGCCACCACAGGGCCAGACCCACAGGGGAGCTGGGAAGGCACTCTGAGTTAGAAAATGCTGAAGTAAAGCGCTCGTGGCCTTGGAAAGCCTGTTCCTGATTTTGATAGACTGACGGTCTCTGTAGTAATTACAGTAGCAAATTCCACGCTGTCACCTGATTTCCTAGTCAGGTCATTCTCTACTTCTCCGAGGTGTCATTTCAGGAGTTATTTTCGGTTTAAAAATGAATGTGAAGCATTTTATTTGGAGTCCTTTTTTGGTAACCCTCTGTGTTTTTCCATGTAATTACAAAAAGCCAAATAATACTCATCCAAAAATTTGGCAGTATGTTACCTAGAGAGGCGAATGAAATCGAGTTTTAATCTGTGGTGAGCTAAAGGCACGTACAACATCTTCAGAGTAGTCTGCTGTGCTGCTCAGGTGGTTTTACGCTGTGGAGCAGGATGCTGCCTACAAAAAGAAAAGAAAAGAAACACAACTTACCTGGTATTGCCACCATTTCGAGGGAATGAAGATCTAAGTGAAAACCCAAGTTGGAAATCCCCCTGGAGAAAAGCCCCTCGAAGCAGAGGGGCCTTGTGGCGGTGAGTCTGCTGCGCAAAGTTGCCTGTAGGTGCTATTCTCAGTGACCCAGCGTCCTCGTACCAGATGGGAAGACAGTTCCAGGGTTTTTTGAAGCTCCCGCCCTCTGCTGGCCTTTCCAAAAATGCGTCTGTGTTCCCTCGTTTTGCTCACCAACTGTGCCTCTCACCACTGGTTAAAATCGAATTCAAGCCCCATTACAAAAACATTTTCTTCCCTGAACGCTTCAGTGCTACACTGGAATTTCTGTAGTTGTCTTAAAAGCTGCATGTCCCTGTCACTGTACTCAGAATGCCTTGATACTGTTCGTGCACCGTTCATAGTGATTTCTGTATCGTTTTCTTCTTTAGTTGTATACGGCAGGCGGGATGGCTTTTCTTGAGGCTGGAAGAAAAGTGTACCATACATTTTTAAATTATTTTAGAAACAACTGCATGAGATGTGTCACTGACTTCTGTTATTTATTTGTATGTTTTA